AGACCTCGAAGTCGTTCAAACTCCGGTTGGGGGAGAAATATACACCATAAATGGTGATTCCCCCCCAATCGGCGGCAACATATCCAGTACCCTTGTCTCTTAGCGACAAGGGCGGGGAATGAGCCGCCGTGGAGCCGACGACTGCCACGGAGCCGTCCCGGTCACCCATCCAGTTTGGACGGGGAGGGACAAAATAGGGCTCCGCGACTACGGCAACACCTATAGACCACTGTGCCATGGTTTGCAGGAAGAGATCCTGCGCCGCAGCACAGTGGTTCAGATTCGTCTGGACCAGGAGGTTGGAGACTTGATCCATTACTGGATCGTCTCTACAACCTCCTCCATGGGCGTCGGCGTCGACGCAAGATTGACGTCGGAGGTAGCCTGGGTCGGCAGGCTAGCCCCCGGCGTTTGCCGAGAAGCGCGGGGAGGCTTGCAGCCCCCCTGCCCCATCTGGTGATTGGCAGGCTTTTTAGCCGCCGCACACACGGGGCAGTGAGGGGCGGCAGAGCACTCTGCCGCCTTGTGCCCGGGTTGACCGCAGCGGAAGCATAGACCGCTGCAGTCAAAACAGCTCTCGCACCTGGTGCGAGTGTGTCCCGCGGCTAGGCACTTGAAGCACCTCATCGGCCTCGCGGCCAGAACCGTGATTCTGGCATTAACGAAGCCGACGAGCATGCTTCCGGCGTCGCCCAACGCTTTGGCCGACGCCACGGGACAGCTGACCCACACCGCACCGAGGCCTCCCGGGCCCGGACGGACGGTGCCGACTCTGATGGTGTCCGCGGTGCACCCAGTCTTCTCCATGACTGCATCGCGGACATCCTCCGACGTTATAGAGTCGTCCAGGCCCGAGATACGCAGTTCCGCGCATTTGGTGGGCCTGGCGATCTTAACACCGTCCGTGGCGGCGAAAATTCCCCGCAACTTCTCGGCGAATTTGTCGGCCGTTGCCGCGCCTTCAGCCCCAGGGAACTCGAAAACCCGAGCTCCCGTCTGGGCGCGGCGCAGCCTCATCCCCGCCTCCCCGAACTCAGTGGCGAGACAGGGCCGGGCCCCCTTGAAGAGGGCCGCATACGTGAGCCCGTCACTGGCCGCCTCCGGCGACAGCGTCACGACTACAGCCGCGGTTTTGGGCGGCTGCAGCTTCCGCGGCCTCTTTTTTGAGGCCGTTGCCACCGGTGGCGAAGGCTGGGCTTGGGCTGCTTTCTGGGCAGCCCTTCTAGCCCGCCTTCGGGACTTCTTTGAGCCCCTCGCCTGCTGCCAACCTTCGTTGGAGGGGGCAGGTGCGGAGGGGCCCGGCAGGGATGTCGGAGCGGGGAGCGGAGGGAAAGCCACTCCGCTCCTCGGCGCCGCTTTAGGCCTCGTCTTGGCCGGCATCTGGGCCGGCGCCTTGGCCGGCGCCTTGACTGGCGCCTGGGCCGGTGCCTTGGCCCCTCTCCTCGGCCCCTGGGGAGCCGGTGGAGTCGGGGCCGACGCCGCCGCCGCGTAGGAGACGCGGCCTCCCACCACGGGGAGCGCGGTTGGCGCAGCGGCCTAAGGCCGCTGCGATGACGCGAGCGGGGGGCGCACGACCGGCGCAGGGGGCAGTCTCGCCTCCAGGCCGGCCAGACGGCCGTCCAGCATACGCCCAACTGCGTCGAGAATTGACCGCAGTTGGGCGTCAGGTACCCCTGAGGTCGCGATAAGGACAGGGGGGGGCGCGGACGGGGCCTCCCGCTCGGGGAGGTTCGCCTGGAAGCGGGCGAACTGAGCGCTCAGCTCGTTCACCTGCTCCGTGAGTCTCTCGTTGGCCAACTGTAGGCAAGAGACATCGCCCACCAGGCCCTCCACGACCTCCGACAAAGCGGAGGAGGAGTCCTTAAGGGCCCTCACAAACGAGCCCTTTAGGTTTACGGACTTGGTGGCCACCTTTTGGATGACGGCCACCGCCGCTTTCGCCCTCTCCTGCACGGACACGGGAGCCTGGGGGGCATTTCCCCCCACCGGCTCCCGAACCTTGAGCAGGAGATCCGCGATCTCCTCCTCCGCTACGGCCTCGCCGTCCACCCGTACGCTTCTGTACGACTCCGCGTTTGAGAACGCGGAGCCTGACGGGGTCGAGACCGAGGCCGTTTTGCGTGCCCTCCCTCGGCGGCTACTTGCCACCTTTGGTGGCATCATCTCCTGGGACGTGTCGGTTTCCACGTCCCCTGAGCGTCCGCGTTTTCGGCTGTCGCTGCGATGTTCCGCTTCCATGGCCTCCGCGCCATCCGACGAAGCGGCGGATCCGGAACGCAGCCGATCCGATGCTCTTCGGCTCCCAGAGATCAGAGTCAGACTGACTTCTGGGAGCCCCATCGAGATGGGCGTTCCCGACGCCACCTCACCCTCAGTGGACGACCCATCGACTCCACTGTTCCTCTTCTCCCTTGCACCTTTCGTTTCAGTGTCCGTTTTGCTTGCCTTTTTTGTTTTTGTTTGTTTTCCGATCGTTTTTCTTAAGTTTTGGTTATCATTGTCCATAATAAATCCCACGAGTGGGGGAGAACTAAAGGTCCACCCGGGCAGAGATCCCCCATTACCCGGGCAAGCGTAAGTTTTTAACCCAACCGAGGGGTCCGCAGGTACCTCGGCTTGGAGTGCGCTCGCGACTGAACTTCCCATCAGCCATGCATCCCCTGGCCACGCACCAGAACACGGGATTCGGGGAATTTTTTAGAGAGGTTATCTTCCTCGCGGTCCGGGCGGTTAAGCCAAGACCCTCGTCCCCGATCAGAGCCGCGAGACTTAACCACAGCGCTCTTCTCGGGATTACGATATGCCGACGGTTGACAGGGAGACTACGTCCCCCTGCCTGCTCGGTGGTAGTGTGAGTACACGCCGAGCCCGTCCTCCTTTCTCCACCGCTATCAGCGGAGAAAACTGTGGCCCCTACAGGGCCCCGCCATCAGGTTTTTTACCGAGGTTTCCTCCTCCATGCTCCGAAGAGCGAAGAGCCAGCAGGGCAACCGGCAGACACGCCCACCCTGCTGGACCAGGCCTTGCCCGAGAGCCGATGAACGGCTGCCTCTTCTGCTAGACTATTGGCCGCTGGCGATAATCCTTTCCTCCAAGAGGACAAGGAGGAAACAGTACCATCGCCAGCGTTTCCAGGGTGCACCACGGGGAGGTTTTCTAGCTAGCACCCCCGCCGGCGTGACCCTATACCAACCCGTCTGGCCAGCGTGGTATAGTAGGCCAAAACCTCCTTTCTAAGGAGAGGCTTATGTCCAGCAGTAGACTGTTAAAGGCTGTTGATGATGATGATTGACCCTCGTTCACCAGTAGGTTTTATTATTTAACTTTATATTCGCAACAACCCTATGCTCAATCGTACAAAGAACATTACACACATAGAGTAATACAACTGTGTACTACCTACCTACGTTGACAACCCCGCAAGCAAACAGAAACAGAACAAAGGCACGAGATAGGCAGATACAACAGTCCGCCACTTGCTTCAATCCTTCAATTTTTCACGAGCTTCCTGTATTGTCATTAAATTTACACACAAGCCCGTTTCTTATTCTCCTCACCTCTTTCTTTCTTCAGCACAACGCTAATTAGATTTGTATATGACTTTATTCTTAGGATAATTTCAGTATAACTTGACCAAGGTCAAATTGTCGTTTAAAACAAGTCAAAGTTGGTAAAAATAAAAATTCAAATATTCACTACTTCCGTGTCAACATTGCGTTAATTTAGTGAGATTACTTTGTTGCAGTCATTTTTCAAAACACTAATTTCTAACTTTACTCAATTCCACTGCACTCAATTTTAAACTACACTCAAATGGGGGTAATTGAATAATTAGATATGGAACATTTAAATTTTTGTGTTACTAGGATTCAAAAAATATGTATACATTTCATCCCACGTAATAGACTAGCCATTTCTGAGTACTGTTGATGACGCTCTGTTGCTAGTGAGGACAACTTGGTCTACTCAGAAAACATGCACAAAAACCTCAAGGGCATATAAAAATATATACACCAACTTTCCACCATGACAAAAAGTACAGTATTTAGGATAAATATATGTCTGTTCTGGCCGTATAAATATCGACTTTTCGTAATAATAATAATAACCTGACACATCTCACACAAGGCCATCTGAGCTGGGCTCAGATGGCCTTGTGTGAGATGTGTTTGGAAGAGTCTGTCCTATGATAACCAGACTGATGATAAACTTACTATAAATACGTACATATTATAGATAAATTATAATAATAATATCCCACTCATCTCACACGGCCGTCTGATCCCAAACTAGGCAGAGCCTGTACTATGGTAACCAGATAAACATACTTATATATTCATAAATAGATACATATTACAGATAAATTCTACCCAGACACAGAACAAATGTTAGTGCTTATCACACAATTATTTTTCTTGGGTGTTAATCGAACCCACAACTTATGAATAGAGATCTGTTGCCCTCAATTCCTATCCAATCCAAACCAGCATTGTAATTCCAATCCGACTGTCCAGCAAACAACGCCATGGACTTAAAAACAAGCTCCAGCATTGTAATATTTTATAAGTGAATAAACTTCTTTGTACCCCTTTTTAAACAAATATGACGCACCGAAGCACGTAATATTTGAATTGTTTAATGTGGAGGAACTACATAAAACTCTCACTCCACTCCATAGTATTACAGCCGTTTCGAGATAATTTTCACATACGACTCGTATATGTGTCCAGTTTATATTTTGACCTGTCATTGTACGAAAGTCATAGCAGTCAACCGTTGAATTTCGACCGCTACGCAATTTTTAGTATTAGCATAGATAAGTACAAAAGCTCTGAGGTACAAAAAATACCCTATCGGGTCAAGTTTATTATACTTTGAATAAATTCTAAACATACCCTAAATCTACCGTCGCAAAGTCTAGAAAGCAATAGAAAAACGAAAGAGAAACGCGTCTAGAGGGAAGTCTGACGTTGGGACAATGCGCCTTTCACGATAACAAAATGCAAATGTGTTGCACGCCATTATATGCACTTTGTTGTACGAACAATACTGTCTGGTCTTGCCCACAACCGCCACCGGGTTGCCGTGACCTGCCTTACCACCTATACGAGATGACCGACGCTCGTTTGAACATACCTAGCGACTCGATGCGCCTCATTACAACTAATTATGTAATTTTCCGCTATACTGGAAATGTAGAAAGGTAACGATTCGTTATTGTACGATGCAGACGGTTCAAAGTATACGTTTTAAAATTGCTGTAGAATATTTATTTCACATGTTAGCGTCACATTGTATTAGATAGTTTTGGACTTGAAGTAAACAAATTTAAATTGACTGCACGGATGGCGTAGTAGTTTAAGAGGTAATCTCGCCACTTGTAACTGCGCTGACTGTTGTGGGTTCAATCCCTACATGAGACAACATTTTGTGTGATCCACAAATTGTTGTTCTAAGTCCGGGTGTCCTTTGTGTCCATATATGTCTTAAAAGTCCCCAGAGTCACCAGAAACATATCTTGTGTCGCGACACAAGATATGTGTCTGGTGCGGGAGTTGTCTTTTAAAAGAGAAATGAAATAATTTAAAAATCGAAAGTTCTGTTTGAGGAGCATCGCATCATCACATCAACTGCCTTTAATAGTCCACTGCTGGACATAGGCCCCTCCTTAGAAAGGAGGTTTTGGCCTACTATACCTCGCTGGCCAGACGCGTTGGTATAGTGTTTGTGTCAAGTTTTTCTTCTTTTCGCAGTGCTGCTGTCCTGCGTTGTTTTGCGCCCTTAGTCGGCTCTTACGACACCCACGGGATGAATTGGGGTAGTGACATTCCGTATTCTTATCCGTCACTATACGGAGGAGGAGCATAGTCAAGTTTTAGAGTACCTAATTAATGTTCATGTCTGTTTTTGGGGAATGGCCGATTCCCTCCTTGTCTGTATAATGTAAAATCGAAATGTGTTTTATGCTGTACTGATACCAAAAAATAAGTTTAAAAATGTATCTCAGTTTATTCGCTAATCTCTGGAACTGTTCTACCGATTTCCGCTGGACGTTTACCGGAACGTAACTGCTGTTGTAAAGAGTAACTGAGGTTACTTTTTTTAAGTTTCGAAAAGAATTAGTTTCCCTCACACAATATAAAAATAACCGACAGGCACAACTATGTAGAAAAAATTGTTGTCCTAAAATACTCTCCATGATGTTTCTGTTTCGGTGGTCTTTCATACCACAGGACGGACACACGGGTTTTCCGTTTTCCTTGGCCTATTTACTTTCTTCTATTGTTCTGTGTGTATTCCGGGTATGCCTATATTTAGTTTTTTATTTATAATTAAATCATAATAAACCTTTAAAATTCGTAAATTCGGTAGTTCTACTATTATATTATATTATACTATCTTCGCACCTACCAAATTCTTAGTTTGACTGGCAGACAATGCCTTAAAAGTCCACCTTTATAAAATACTAGCTGAGACCCGCGGTGTTACCTGCGTTTGTTGTTATAACCGCGGGCAACGCCGCGGGGCGAAGCTAGTCTAAAAAAAGTAAGCCTAAGTTACTCCTTATGTCATCAGCTATCTGCCAGTGAAAGTCCCGTCGAAATCGGTCTAGGCTTTCTAGAGATTATCCGGAAAAATCAGACAGACAGACAGACAAAAATTGTAAAAAAGGTTATTTTGGCATATGTACCGTGTAAACATACATATATTATGAATTTAGTAAAAAGCAGTTATTTTAATATTACAAACAGACACTCCAATTTTATTTATTTGTATAGATGTACATGAAGTTTAAATAAATAAACATAATTAATAATTGTGTAGTATCGTAGACCTGAGCCATCCCGTAAATGACCAATGTTAACTTATACCTGACACACGAATTATATCTCGAGAAGAATGCTAGTATATGATTAATGAATGTTCGTTACCCAATTACGTCAAAACGGCTGAACATATCTTAATGAATACTTTGACATTAATGGGCATAAAGTGGTAAATAGCACAAAATTTAATTAAAAATTAAAAAAATCTCGACACACATCTTAGATTTCACATTTGTCATAGTGTATAGTATTCTACTAGTCAACCTCATTCATTTGATACCCATATTGAGGAAGTTGTGAAAAAATATATAAGCCGCCATATTGTGGCGGCAGCCATCTTGGATCGATTTGCATGAAATATAGCTAAGAACACTCCCGACTAATTCACCTTTCAAACAAAAAAAAAAATCAAAATCGGTTTATCCGTTCGGGAGCTACGATGACAGACAGACACACAACTTATAACACCCCGTCGCTTTTAGGTCGGGGGGTTAAAAAATAGATTGACGTAATTGACATTGTCACTGGTCGTAGTCTTTTATATGATTTTATTCGAATCAAAAACTGTGGCATGCCAAGAATAGGTGACACTGTGACATCCTGTAAGTGCGATAAAAGCGGACAAAATGATACCTTCAGTTGACTCAGTGTGCTGCCAACGCTAGTCATCACAAAAACTATTGAGGATATGACAATAAATTTAATAGTACTTTGTGCCAATTATTATTTTCTGACTTGTATTAGATGGTGTGTGTCATAAATGAGAACGAGCTTTCGCCACTATTTTTTTACAGATCTATATTGGCAATTGCATCTTTTAAAAATGCACGGATGGCGTAGTGGTTTAAGTGGTCGCCACGCCGCTTCCTACTACGCCGAGTGTTGTGGGTCCGATCCCCACATGGGACAACACTTTGTGTGATCCACAAATTGTTGTTCTGAGTCTGGGTGTTCTTTGTATCCGTTTCATGTATGTTTGTAAAGTCCCCCGCAACACAGGAATATATATTCCTAATGCGGGCGTTGTCTTTTATAGAAAAGAAAAAAAGAAAAGAAAAGAAAAATCAAAACGCGTTTTTTTTACTTTAAACAGCGACAGGTAAAAATTGATGGTTCACGTGCAGTCTTCTTTAAACGTGGCAACGCGCTTGTTGATGTGAAATGAACTTACACTAAACCCCCTGATCTTTATTGAACCCAAATTCTAACGTATTCAAATTGAACGTTAATTATTTAATAAACATTTGAAAATTAAAATTAATGTTATATCCTCCATATTAATTTTTATTGACAGTTACACCGACATTCATGATTTTATTACTGACAGTATGAAATACTGTTTCATTCTCGCAATATGATCAGTTAATTCGGAGAACACGGTTACGTCAGACGCGCTAATACCTAAGTACTCATCATTATAGTTCATTACATCCGTCGACCATATAGAATTTTATAATTATTAAAATATTCAGAGACGTCAGTTTTTAATTTTAATATAATATCTCACACACGGCCGTCTGATCCCAAACTAGGCAGAGCCTGTACTATGGTAACCAGACTGCTGATAAACATACTTATATATTTTTAAATACATAAATATTTTAGATAAATTACACCCAGACATAAAACAAATGACCGTGCTCATCACACAATATTTGTCCTTTGTGGGAATCGAACCCACGACCTCTGGATTAGCAGTCAGGGTCACTAATCACTAAACCAACAGGCCCGTTATTTAGTATTCCCGATATTAGTATCGAAGGCCTCCTCCAAGTAGCGGAACCCATCCCGGTCTTGAGCAGTCCGCACCTTACATTATGACGAATATAAAGTAATCGAGTAATCCAACCAGGACAAATAATTATGTGATGAGCGCGGTCATTTGTTCTGTGTTTCGGTGTACTTTATCTATAACATGTATATATTTAGAAATATATAAGTATGTTTATCAGTAGCCTGGTTACCATAGTACAGGCTCTGCCTAGTTTGGGATCAGACCGCCGTGTGTGACGTGTATGAAAATATAATTAATATAACTTAATCCATACTAATATTATAAATGCGAAAGTGTGTCTATATGTCTGTCTGTTACCTCTTTACTCTTAAACCGCTGAACTGGTTTAGATTAAATTTTGTATAGGGATACGTGGGTCCCAAGGACATAGGATAGTTTTTATCACCCTAAAAGGGGGTGGAAGGTTGTATGGGCAATCAATTACCGCTGAACCGATTTAGATGCAATTTGGTATGGAGATAGTTTGATTCTTGAGGAAAGACATAATAATATATTACCGACTATGATAACCGACATACACACGGGAGGAGCCGCGGGCAAAATCTATTTAATTAAATAAAGTAGGGTAAAAAGAAAAAAAAACAAATAGAACACATTAATATTATTTAACGGGAATTAACGCGATCTCTTATTTAGGGTATTTAGGGTTGACTGGAGTCAGCCTGTGACCACGGCCGGTGCAACCTGGTCGAAACGTCAGGCAAACCAGAGGTATGTAATACCCTAAATAAGAGATCGCGTTAATTCCCGTTAAATAATATTAATTATCATGGAACGCGAAAGTTTAAAAGTTAAAATAGAACACAAATTTCTTTTTTTTTAATTCAATTAAGATTCTAATAATATTAACTGTTAATATTTTTTCCAGTATGGAGATAAAAGCGGAGGGAGTGCTGGACGGTACACTGGTTCCGCGGCCGGTTAAGGAGCGCAAGAAGCATGACCGGTTCAACGGCATGAGCGAGGAGGAAGTGTCCCGCCGCACCCTGCCAGACCACCTCGCTGAAAACCTCGACATCATCATTGTGAGTATGATCAACGCTGTATTTTTTACTACTATTTATAATAATTTAAATGAAATCCGTAAAGTATTTAAAAACAATATTATTATTTATTATTATATATTATTTATTGTATTTCCGGAGCGTACTCCTTTCTAAGAGGCCGGCAACGCGTTTGTGACTCCTGAGTTGCAGACGTTCATGGGCGGCGATGGTCACTTTCCATCAGGTGACCCGTCTGCTCGTCTGCCCCCTCTAACATAAAAAAAACAGAAATTAGACCGAAAAGTAATTAATAGAAAGGAACTTCTTCAAGCCTTTTCTTCTACTTTTACACATATCACATCACATCACACATCAACAGCCTATACTAGTCCACTGCTGGACATAGGCCGCTCCTTAGAAAGGAGGTTTTGGCCTACTATACCACGCTGGCCAGACGGGTTGGTATAGGGTTTGTGTCAAGTTTTCCCTTTCTTTACAGTGATGTTGTCCTGCGTAGTTTGCTCCCTTAATCGGCTCTTACGACACCTGAGGGATGGATAGGGGTGGTGACAGTCTGTATTCAATATATATAGAATACAGACTGACGTGGGTTATCAATATACTAGAATGATTTTACGCTGGGAGCACTGTGGTGGTGTTTCAATTTAATTAATCGAATCCACGTGCTGTGAATCTTTTTTAACTAAACCAATGATATTAAACTTGATCGCGACGATATTGAAGAGTGAAAATTAGCCTCAGGACCAGTGTGGCAAATCGTTTTTGGGGTGGTGACATTTCGTATTCTTAATCCGTCACCACACGGAAAATAGGTATAAAGACCTGTAAAAGTATGGTATAAAGTAACATTTATCTGAGTTACACATGTAGAAAGGTGGGCTGTGTTCTAGACTGGTTCTAATTAAAAGCATCACATTTGGAGTGGGAGACTTATACATTATTCTAGAATGTGATAAGACCTGTATTAACAAATTTTGTTCAAAAACCTGTTACCTGTTATTATAAATTATTCAACGCTGATGAGCAGGTAGCTGCAATCTACGCTGTTTATTTCATGTATGTGTTTAGAAATTGTTTTATCGCGCGAAATGGAGGACATTGCGCTGAAATTAACTTGCATCATACTTACTAAAAATTGACATGAAAACTATATTCAGCAACGTATAGAGAATATAAATAGCCTTTTGTTATTTTTAATAAATTACCTGAACAACTAATCTATACATACAAATAAATAAAATTTAAGCGTCTGTTTGTAATGTCAAAATAATAGTGTTTTTCATGCTCACACGGTTATTTGCACGATACCTATGCCTAAAAAACAAGTTTAATTATATTTTGTCTGTCTGTCTGTCTGTTTGTTCCGGGTAATCTTTAAAACGGCTTGACCGATTTTGATAATATTTTTCTACCAGGTAGCTGTCTATATAAGGAGTAACTTAAGCTATTTTTCCATCAGAAAACCTCTATAAAATTTTACCCTGTCCGGGAATCGAATCCACTAAGGCAGCGCGCCACTAAGACGATGTCGCGGGCACTAGCTAGTTTTATATAAGATTTAGTTCGCCCATTATATTGCGTTACCTATCTAGAACGGTACTTCTTATAACGCTAGCTACTGAACACCATAGGACATTCCCATTACACTACCGTCCCTTTTTACAATTGCAGAAACTTCCATAGATTAAGGGAAGGCAGGGGGGGGGAAGGGTTGATACTTATCTAAAAAAAAATATGGTAAAAATTATATTTGATTATTTAATATATTACAAACGCGTACATTTTATTTATTTGTATTGACTTGATAAATGTAAGGGAGGACGGGACGGGGGGGGAGGAGGAGGGAACGTGATGTGTTGTGTGTGTCGTTGTGAATAACATGTATACGTTAAGTTCCATTTAAGTAATTAGCTACTTAATTATAATCAATATCAGTATTTGATCATATTCATTCATTCATTAATGAAACTCTCTTTAAGAATAAATAAGACAGTAGCTCATTGCATTGAGTGTGTGACACTAGCAATGAATACTTATATGGAAGAAATACCATATTTCTTCCATAGGTTAAGCATAATTTCGTCATAAACGCTAAACTTTTGGCATTTTTTTTTTGACGACTGGATGGCGTAGTGGTTTGTGTAACGGACTGCTATTCCAAAGGTCGCGGGTTCGATTCCCGCTCAAGTCAAACATTTGTGTGCATGAACATTTGATGTTTGATTTGGTCGGGGTGTTTCTATGTATTATAAGTATGTATTTACCAAAAAAAAGTATATATGTATTTATATCAGTTGTCTAGTACCCACAAGCTCTGCTTAGTTTGGGACTAGATGGTGTTGTGTGTATGTGGTAGAACACACCTTTAGTAGTATTATAAATGCGAAAGAATGTCTGTCTGTCTGTTAGCAGTCTTAGCAGTCAGGGTCACTAACCACTAGACCAACAGGACAAACAAACCCAAATACACAAAATTCATACCAATATTATAAATGCGAAAGTGTATGTCTATCTATCTGTCTGTTACTTCTTCACGCTTAAACTGCTGAATCGATTTAGATGAAATTTGATAAAGAGATAGTCCGAGACCCGGGAAAGGACATAGGGTAGTTTTTATCCCAGAAATCATACTTTAAGGGAGTGAAAAGGGGAGTGGAAGTTTGTATGGGAATCAAGAACTGTTGAGCCGATTTAGATGAAATTTGGTATGGAGATACTTTGATTCTTTAAGAAAGACATAATAATATGCTACGTTTTACCGCGATAACCGACCTTTACGCTTTAGCCGCGAGCAATAGTTAATTACGAATATATTTATTGTTATTCAGATTGGCATAAACCCCGGATTGTTTGCGGCGTACAAAGGACATCACTACGCAGGCCCTGGAAATCATTTCTGGAAGTGTCTCTATCTCTCTGGACTGACAAGGGAGCAGATGAGCGCGGATGAAGACTACAAGGTTAGTACGCAGAATTCACCATTTTTTTTCATCTGTATTTAAGTGGTAACAGATTATACTGTACCTGGTGCAATTCAAACCACCCAATTTCTTCATTACAAGTATGAATTCTTAGACATAAAAGCTAGCTTTGTGCTTGTGATAGAAAAGTAAAATGTAGGGTAAGGTGTAAAACAATCACATTTTTTTATGTCAGAGGCTTACGGGGTGTCTCTAGCAGAATTTTTTGACTTCAAACTCTCTACTGATCCATACCAAGAAACCGGCACCGTATCAACACGATATAAACCACACACTTCATAACAAACAGTAAAGAAAGTCAACCGGTCGTTTGATCAGTCAGAAAACTGCTCATACTGTGGAGAGCGCTCGAGTGCACTCTGATCCAATAAGCTCAAAAACGTTAATGGCGATTTCATAACAGTTTTCTTAAACAGTACTAAAATAAGTAAAATCTAGATTAGCGATTTTGAAATTGAAGTATTGTCTCTTAGCTCACATTACATCTCTGAAATTATTTTTTTATTTATTTACTGAGTCTTCCTGCAAACATATTGCATAAGGCGGACTTAAAGCCTCAGGCATTTTCTTCCAGTTAAACCTGTGGGTGTTGCAAAGCTGTGTGTGGCAGTTAATTACTGAACAACTGAACTGAACACACAGTTAATTACTGAACGGTTTTTCATGTAATGTTTACAAGTAGATTAAAGTCATATAGTGAATACAAGTATCCTGTGCCGAAACATGGTTCTGTCACGGTTGAGAACCTCCTCCTTTTTTAAATCGATTAAAAATACACAATGTTCGGGTGACTTCACGTCTCCATTAGATAGGCATCAAACTACTCCGTTACAGAAATCCCTGAAGAGCCTTTGAAAGATTTTAGATACCAAGAAAAAAATCTTTTTGTCAATTGATAACGATTCCTATTATAAATGCTTTAAAGAGCTTTTATTGGTTGATTTTACGGCTCAGTAACCGTTTTTAAATTTAATTGTCCGTCATTGAACCTAAATAATATACATTTACGTGGTCATTGACCGTTATTATATTATGGTACAATCTGAAAAATTACTGATAGTTAAAGTTACCACGTTTTCAAAATATTACGGCAAAAATCTTCAGATTACCATGGACTTAAATATTAGTCTGTTAGTATAATATAGGTATATTAGTCTGAAAACGATTACACTCCCGAGGATGACTGGTGTCATCAGACCACCTGATAAGTCCATATGGATCCATGGACCCATCAATACGTCTAGTCAACGAAGTAACATCAGAACCAATTAACCAAAACTACAACACTTAAATTCTTTTTTATTTATCCAATCTATCGTTTTTTTACAGTGATCTAAAAATAAATACATGTCTATATTAGAAAAAATTACAAGCGAGGATCAATAATACCATAAAAAAATAAGCATATCATCACGAGCTAGATTTAAAAACTAGTTTTATTATAGAAGTAACTGTTGCCGAACTAACTGCCTGCGTATGCGCATAGCCAATTTTAGAATTCATCTAAACTTACAGCGATCGCTATGTTTTTTTTTTTTGAGTATTTTCTTTTTAAAATATATAACATACTATTTTTTGCCCGCGGCACCACCCGTGTGTAGTAGATAGATAACTCTTTATTGTACAAGAAAAAAAGGGCATAATTATAAAACAGTTTGTATACATTTTAATGAGTCTTATAATCTAGGGACAGTTACACAAAGAAAGTAAAACTAGTTATATAAAATTGTTGTACAATTGGCGACATTTTGCGATGAGCGATCTCTTCCAGGCAACCGCTGGATGGAGAAGGAAAATGAGGATTTCATGGGGAATTGCAATTTTACAGTACGATACAAGATATAAGACTAACAAACTCTTACATAGCACACTGAATACACACACTCACTAATAATAATAAGTTTTTTTATTTTCTCTCACACAGAATGACATATCTTGACATATTAAAGTAGATACACAGTTATAGGTGAGTTGAATCTGTGTGAGAGACTGGTATCTGCACTAGGTACACCTGTATTACAGATTACCAGCCTCTCCTGACACTAGATGCGTAAGTGTTATCCTGTAGGTATAACTTGATTAGGTGAGAGCTAAAGCAAAGTGAAGTGAAGGTAAAATGTGTGTGTGTGTGGGTGATGCGTGTGAGTATGGTGTGTGTGTGTGTGTGTGTGTGTGTGTGTGTGTGTGTGTGTGTGCGCGCGTGTGTGTGTGCGCGCGTGTGTGTGTGTGTGATGAGTGTGAGGAAGGTTGTGTGTGTGAATAGAGGTAATAACCCTACAACGATGAAGATGATGGTGATCGGATGTGCGTGATTGAACGTGATTTATAAAGGAAATACATGGCACTAATATGTGTAGATACGACTATACTTATACAAAAAAATAGATCTTAGATAATTGTCTATTGCGGGACATATAACAGGTTTTCCTTTTCCTCATAACTGAGTGTTTTCAGCCAGTCAGAAATAGCCCTTTTGCAGCGATATTTTGAAAGGCAATAGATGGCTAAAATTGCATTTACCCTGTTATATAATAGACACACATATGCACTACACAGGATAGGATACATTTAAAATCAGGAATAAGATGTGGGTATACACAGGATTTAAGGACGCGTGTGTGTCGGTTATCGAGGTAAAAAGTAGCCTAAAATAATAATATTTTCGGACATTGACACACAACGCCATCTAGTTTCGAACCAAGCGGAGCTTTTACTATGAAAGCTAGATTGACTGATAGAATATGTTTTTATATTTTTTTTCTAAATACATATTATACATAGTAAAGATCTGAACTCCGCAACAAATATATGCAGATCATACAAACATTTGGTCCGACCTGGGAATCGAACTCATATTAACATTTATAAAATAAATATGGAAGTAAGGGCGTCCCCTCCAGCGTTTGTGTTAGGTGAGGCTTTACCACCACTACGCACGGCTGGGGTTGGATGCCAACTCAGTACTATATCTAACGTGGGATAGCCATGCCTCGGCACATATAATACGTATAGGCCTCCTCGACACAAGTCATGCCACGGCCTCACAGAACACGGAGTGACTGAGTGAGGTTACAAGAGGCTTGGCATATTCTCCTTTCTCTCTCCCTCATTCTTAGTTCGGGAGTGAGGACTCGTAAGGCGTCAACGCATAAAGTGAATCTCAAAATATCTTTATTTCATAAAAATATGTTTGAAATCGTTTCTTATGTAGATTCTAAAGTGATAGATCCACACACACACAATAGCAACAACCGGGTTTATCAAATATTTATAATTAGAAACCACGCTGGACAACATCACTGCAAATAAAAGGAAAACTTGACACAAACACTATACCCACCCGTCTGGCCAGCGTACTATAGATTTTAACTATACATTTTAACATACATGTTATAAATCTGATATCCTTTTATATCTGTACACATCATTTAAAAGCTAACAGCTTCCTAGAGATGAAGACAAATACATAAACAAATGGAGATTAGAAGAAGTGAATACAATGATAACAAAGGTGACTAAACGCTAAGCTAATTTATCATATATGGCTTTTTTAAAGTTAATTAATTTATCATTAAAGATATCCAATCCTGAACAAATATGGTTATACTGCCTACACATCCTCTTAAGTGGGCTATTTTCAGAGACATTATTGTTACTTGACGGTATAGTTAACAAATGTGGAGAGCCATAGGGCTCTCCACTGCTGGACCTATGTCCTACTGGACATAGGTCCAGCAGTGCATTATTAAAGGCTGTTGAAGTGTACCAGTCCGCTTGTTTTCCAACATATCCGGCAGAAAATTCCAATGATTTTCGACACAGAATCATGGTCTGAATACACTATTTCGATATCGTTGTTTCGATGTCTCTTACACCCTGTATAATTATGTTGTATGTATATACACAATATATGGTTATATTTTCAATGTATTTAAACGGGGCCAATATATGTAGATACTTATATACAGAGGTGTCGGTAACGGTAACAGTGTCGCGAGATCAATGGTTTTTCCTATCTCAAATAGTACATTGTTTTGTTTGTTGTTCAAAAATGCCCAACATGCTCAAAGAAGATTTCACTTCAAAAAAACTAAAAAATCTATATTCTAGAACATATAGAACAAGCTAAATTTAGCTTTGAATGTAAGTGGCGCTGTGTGACATGTTCCAGAATATTATTTTTATACATAACCGAATATAACATATCACTGTTGTATATTTTCAGCTACTGAACTTCGGCATCGGTTTCACGAACATGGTGTCTCGCCCCACCAAGGGATCAGCCGACCTCACTCGGCGGGAGATCAAGGAGGGGTCCGCCATCTTGTTGGAGAAATTGCAGACCTTCCGTCCGAAGGTGGCCGTATTCAACGGGAAGCTGATTTATGAAGTGTTCTCCGGGAAAAAAGACTTCTGTTTTGGAAAACAACCTGACACAATTGCTGGGACAAACACTGTGAGTTACAGAGTATAGTTATAAATCTAACTTGTGTGATTTTGTGTGAAGTCATAGCTCGTAAACATATAAATCGATTTTGATGTATTTTTTTTTTTTTGTTTGAAAGTAACTTTTTGGTTATAATTGTGGGCTGTTCTCTAAAGTGGAAGAGGTTTTTAAGTCAAGTTAACTGTGTTTGTTGGCATGAAATACGCCATTTTATTGGCATGACATTACTGAGGTACTACTGATTGTCTCGAGTGTTGTCCCTTAAAAATACAAGCCCACCTTAGTTACTTCACTATTATAGTGGTTTATTTTTATGCTGGTCCTTTAAAAATCAGAAATCTCTTGCACCACGTTATACGTTTTGTTCCTGGAACAAAGCTTAAGTTAAACATGAACATTCCCCACCTATAACTAACAAAACTTTTATAAAAAAAAATTGCAGTATATGTGGGTGATGCCATCATCATCTGCGCGCTGTGCCCAACTGCCTCGCGCAGCGGACAAGGTTCCCTTCTATGCGGCCCTCAAGAAGTTCCGCGACTACCTCAACGGGCTCGTGCCCCACGTCGAGGAGGCAGAGCTCGTGTTCCCGGACAACACCAGCCGACGCCCACAGGAGGAGATGGAGATTCGCAGGTATGTCACTTCAAACCCAATGGTAGCTTGCCGGTTAATACTTGATTTAGCAAACATACTTTTTGTATTTAATTCACTAGTTTCAAAAACAAAACGCAAATTTTTAGCACATTCCACAAAGGATGAGTAACTAATATGATAAAATATTGAAACTGCAGCTTGTCCATGTATCTGCTGTCGTTAATTTTCAATATCCTGGCCAACATAAGATATAAAGAATTCCTTTTCAATCTAAATTACAAATAGAGAGCATAGTTTTTATAACGATTCTAACTGTGAACTGCAATTTCAGTTGCGGTAAATGTTTAAGCTTACTATACTATGATAGTATTATGTTTTATACACTCACCTCTGTAAAAGAGCTTTACTATTAAGATCAATTTGTAAAAACACATATATAAACTCTTCAGCTGTAATGAAAGAGCTGATGCAAAACAGGTAGGGCGGTAAACATCGTTAATAAGTTATCCTGCAGGAAGAGAACATCTAATCCCAGCCAAGATGTCCTGTATTATGTTTATACAGCATAAGTTTTTGTTATCATACCAGATATAAGTGTATAGGAGGTTTCCACGTACCCGTGTTTAGTATTTACGTAATTTTTTTACCATTCCTAGTAGTACGGCCTTACAGTCCCACCGAAAACTGGTGACTTAAGCAAGTTTCGTTGGTTTTCACCGATTGAGTGAGGTTACCAGTGCCCAAAATCCCATCCTCTCTGTCTGGTCTAGGAGGGAGGGGGGGTTTCCCACTCCTCCAATTTTCTTCTGATTAAATTCGTTGCGGGGTCCAAGACAGTTTAATATTTTTCCTGGGACTTCCCGAGTGTCATAACTCGGCATGTTCGTGGGTCACTACTGTTGATCCTGGTGTTCAGGAGTTACAGTGGTGGGCGTGTGCAAAATGAAAAAAAGTGACCCTTCTGTTCGTTATAACATAATAAATACTATTAAAGAGTATTTGCTGACCGTACCTCGTGTTATTCTATAAACCTCCTATATGCTTAGAGTCAGTGAAGTTCTAACAGTGCGGAAGTCAAAAGTGTCTAGTTTACAGGAGGGAGAAGAAACTGCTCCACGTAAGGTGAAAATTTTGTGGCAGTTCTGCACGTAAAGATGGAACTGTTTTTAGTTACGAAAATACAGAATCTTAAGTGTTGACCATAAACCTGCTGTCAAGTGTTGGCAGTGCCAGTTTCATTGCAAAATGAGGCAATACCACCTCATTTTTTAATTAACCGTCTCCTTTCTGAACAGTTGAAAGAACGAAAGTGATCTTTCTTCATGAAATAGTACCAAAAGTAAAAAAAAACCCAACACACTGTTAGAATTTCACTGAAGTTATTTATTTATTAAATACACAGGCTTTTAACGGCGTATGTGGTGGTATTTGAACTAGGTTTAATACACTGAAATGATAGATTTGTCACCAAATTGTGATCACCAGACAAACTCATAACGTAATCCCAGAATAGGTAAATTGATTTTTTATTAAATGATCACAAATCTGAATGTATTAGAACATTCAATATAATGCTGAAATATATATAATATACCTTTTTAATCCATACCGCAGCATGTCCCGATTAGAAAAGAAATTTTTAGTTTTTTTTAATTGATTAAAATTCTAGGCCATTTATTTTCAAATTCTCCGATTGTTTCAGCCAAAACCGAAGGTAAACTTATCTCTCACTGCCTAAACATAACTTTTTTTAAGTGTTTTACTTCAAAATATGAAATTATTTACGCGCAAAATTTACACAGTGTCTGAGGCTAGATTTTTATTTTTGTGCACGCATTGATTCCCTAAACTAAATTATGTTGTAATTAGTTGTTTCCACAAAAAAAAACGGGTTTAAACTGTTCGAATTCGAAAAAAAAATCTTGTTTGAATAAATTTTCGTTTATTTACGCAACTGTACAATAGTAATTGCGTCTATCGTGAGACAACAGAATTTGCTACAGTGTGGCCTAGTGTGAGTTAATTTCACACTAGCTGCTACCAGCGACTTCGTTGCCGTGGAATTTGAAAAAAGCTGCCTTAGTGGTGCAGTACTATACGCGACAGCAGTCTATGAGGCATCGGGCTCGATTCCCGGACCGGGCGAAACTTTATAGGATTTTCTGAGAGGAAAAATAGTCTATATAAGGAATATAGACTGGCCTGGTAGTAAAATAATATCAAAATCAGTACAGCCGTTTTGAAGATTACCCGGGACAAGCAGACACAGACAAAAAATATTTAGCGATAGGTATCGTTCAAATAACCGTGTGAGCATGAAAAAACCTATTATTTTGACATTACAAACAGCCACTTCAATTTTATTTATTTGTATAGATCAACTTTCTCTCGACTGCGGGCGCGTGTGGCTTTGCGATTAGTGAAGATTTCAGTTCTAGCCAATCGCAACGCAAACGCGGTCACCGTGACGATCGGGTTGATGTGAAATAAACTCACACTAGTCACTTAGAACAAGCTTAATATACCTGAACTACTATTTGACAGTTGTCTGGGCTGCATTTCAAATTCGAACTATTTCAAACTTTCACTTAAAAGTAATAATTTCAAATGATCCTTCAATTCTATTTACAACTAGTGTGTGAGAACTATCCTTAGAATGTTATGAGTCATATACGTACGTATTTACCACAAAATAAAAACTCAAACACAATTACGTATAAATGTTTTCGTTTTTGAGCATTTTACTTTTACATAAGTCGAATAATATATCACAGCATTACCATTATAATAGTAGCATTTTGTCTTTTGAATATGATCCTCGCTGTAAGGACTAAACTTAATACTTAATATATTCTGTAAAAAAATGCTCTCAACTTTCCTATTTGATTAGTTTCCACCAAATGCATAAACTTTCGTAAAATCGGTTATCTTTAATTTTATACCGTGTAGGTAAACACTAATTTTTGATAATTAAGGCGAATCTTGGCGTGCAAACCCCCTTAACCAATTCACTAGTAAACAGTTTCTGGGATTGAGTTTGGTGACAAATATATATGTTGTAACATTATATTCTTCTCTGTATTCACTTGGGTCGAAGGTTTGTCCCCATAGGTAGTATGTAAAGCCGTGGACGATACCATACCACACCACCACACTGAGATAAGGCTTTCGCATTATAATAAGCTGGTACACATGAACCGCTAGCGCTTACCGCTCCCCCGACCCCTTAAACTCAACCGGCCAAGCCGGCAAAACAAAGGCAGAAGCAGTGAGCGAAGCTCCTTGCAGACTGACGATGGAGCCGGAGCCGGGAGACACCATCATCCTGGAAGACGGCACCGAGGTCCCTCTCAAAAAGAAGCGGGGAAGACCCAAGAAGATCAAGCTGGAGAACGGCGAGACGGCACCGGTGACACCCCGCGCACCCCGAGCCCCGCGTCCACCCCCGCAGCTAGATTCTAGCGGTGGTGAACAGCCCCCAAAGAAGAAGCGAGGAAGACCGAAGAAGATTCGCCCTGAGGAGCAACAGTTCTTGTTGCAGCACCAGCAACATCAACAACAGCAGGTGAGTTCACGTCAATGTCTTAAAATATTAAAATATCAATAACTTTAATAAATATTAATATAAAATGTTAATTTTGTCAAGCATTTATTTATCTTCAATTTAAAAGTTTTATTTCAGTCAAGAGTGTTCTTTAACCATTTTCTAAATATATTTCCAGCAAGCGAACACGCTGGTAGCAAGCGGCGGCAACCCGCTGAACACGCTGCAGCCCATCCACGCGCACGCGCACGAGGGCGGCTACATGTCGCACGGCGCGCCCGCCGACTTCCCCCAGCAGCTGCCCTCGCCGCTCGCTCAGGCTCCGCTGCTCTACCCGCACCAGCAGCATCAACAGCATCAGCAGCACCAGCAGCTCGGCGGCGACACTCCTAACTACTTCCAGCAACAGCCGCCCAATCAAGGTTAGCGCTTCTAACACACTTATTAAAACAAAGTGGTAAAAGTATATTAGAGGATAGGTCTTGAAATTCTTAGCCGAATTTGAACCGTACGCGTATTATGATAAGGCCGTCTAATTCTAAAGTAGACACAGCCCATACTATAGTAACCAGGCTACTAATAAACATACTTAAATATTTCTATATACATTTATATTATAGATAAATTATACCCAGACAAAACAAATCTTCGTCATCACACAATCCTACTATAACCTACTATAAGTATACATATGTACTCATCATCATCATCAGCCTATCGCCGTCCACTGCCGAACGAAGGCCTCCCCGAGGAGTGCCTACTATCCTGGATAAGATGTGCACTCAATTAACACATTTTGAGGAATTAAGTCTAAGGAAGTTAGTGACCGCACTGAGATAGCACATTTGCGTGGTCGCTTTGGTCAGTTATTTCAGGTTAAAAAGTAGTCTATGGTTATTTTTAGTCTGTGCCAAATTCATTCAGAAGTTCTGGGACGTGTTTGAGTAACAAACATTCATCCAAACTTTCTCGTAATAGTAGTATTTAATATATTACACAATAAAAACGCCTATTATTTCGAATGAACGTGTTTCATCACGAAAGTTTCAATGATAACAAAAATATTTTTAATAGCTACTAGATTAGGTTTTACTCAAAGATATCATAAAGTAATATAACAAGATTAAAACATTCAGAGTAATTTGTGGCTAAATGACAGACAAATATCTATGTTGACTAAAATTATTGTCATATTTATATTCATGGAAAATTTGGATCACAGGAATGGACTCTCCCCTGGACGTGTCGAACCCCCTGGCGGGCATGGGGCGCGGCTACTCGTCCCCGGGCGGGGGCGGCGCGGGCTACGCGGCGTCCCCCCGCGGCGTGTACGCGTCGCCGCGCTCGCAGGGCTACTCGCCCAGCCCCGCGCGCCCCGCCGGCACCCCGCAGCCGCAGGTACCGCCCCCACACGACCACACCGCCGCACCGTTACACATAACACCCACTTGCTTAGTTACTGCTCCACTCCTTAGAGTTGTAGCGTGCAGTTAAATAAAAAATACACTTTCATGAAGCTTCCATTTAGTTAATATAAATAAAGATGCATTTTAGTGGTGTAATATTTTTACAACATGTTGTACCTCTCTATTCATGACATATACACAATTTAAAATAAAATAGGGAATACAAAATAGGTAAAAATAATTAATCCTCTTATTTTTAAGTGATTTGCTTAAAAAAAAAATATTTGAGTAACTATTGAAAACCCCTTAGATCTGTATTAGTGTACGGTCTCAAATTTCTAATTGGCAAATAGATTAATATATAAATTTCTCTCAAACTTTTAGGAGTAGTTGTATTATCGAACCTGCACCAACAACCACATCACATCAACGGCCTTTAATAGTCCACTGCTGGACATAAGCCTCTCTTTAGAAAGGAGGTTATGGGCAACAGCTACTTAATATAATATTTTATATATGTTGAAGTTGGTCCATGGTTTATTATAAGTGTATATACCGCAGACCGTAACTAACCTCGGTGTTGCAGTTCCCGTCGAGCCCGGCGGCGTTCTCGGCGCCGTCCCCCCCTCGAGCTGGTGGCGCGGGGGGCGGAGGCGGCGGGGGCTACGGCTCGCCCGCCCCTCGCGCCGCCCCCTTCAGCGGCCGCAGCCCGCTGTACGCGCACAGCCCCGCGCCATACCAGCACCAGGCGCAGGTAACACCGCCATCTGCATTCCGTCACCGAAATCTTTTGTCAATTCCTATACTCAAACTTTGCTAAAGTAATTCAAACAAGCATAATTTTTATTTATTACTGCATAAATAATAGGAATATTAGAGTAATTAATTACAGAATGTAACAATAAAGCTAACGAGAAAATTTTGAGACAATAATCCAGTGACGTCATGCTAGTCTTAACTTAAGCAGATTTTTTATTTTAATTATTTCCATACTTTCATTGTTTATTAATTATCATTCAGTATTGTGCCAAAACAACTAAGCCAGTACAATATTTTGTATTAGCTATACTCTGTATATGCTAAGTTATCCAAATTAAAAATAAATGTCGTGTATTCTGTTGAAAACCAAAAAACTGTGCGTCACTATTGATAGTCACCGCTTTACTAGAATACGAGTCTGTACCAATCTCCCACCACTCGCAACTAACTTTAGCCTGGTCAATTTATAATGCTTGTTAATTAGATAAATTGAATGTGTGTTTGTGTGGTGACAGAGCCCCGCCCCGCCAGCCCCGACGGCGCGCTTCTCGCAGTCACCGCACCCCCACCACCCGCACCCCTACTCGCACTCGCCCGCGCCACAGGTAAACAACCACCACCACCACACTTTATTTTCCTATTTTATAAAATATTTGGCGACTGTTCAAGATTCTGGAATCAAGTTTCTTAACTTGAGTTTTGTGTTCTCTCATAGATAATATTAATAAATTTAAAAACATGTTTGTAGAGTTGCAAAGGTAAAATGTCAAAATGTAATGTAATAGCTAATGGTTTAACGTTGCATTATTATCCACAGTCTCAAGGCCGGCCATTTTCCCGGTCACCTGCGCCAGTGGGTGTCAACGTGGTGGGAGGCACCACGCCCTTCCCGGCCGCTTCCCCGGCCGGACAGGGGCTGCACAGCTATACGCCTTCGCCAGCCCACACGCCTTACAGTCAACACTCGTCTCCGGCCCCGCCACCTCGAACTCCAACGTACACGGAGCCCCACCACTTCACCAACGCCAGTGGGGGTAGCTTCAGCGGGGAGCTGTCGAGTGAGATCGGCGCGGCGATATCGTCGCCCGGGCCGGTGTCGCCCGGCATGGCGGCGCTGGACTTCGAGCCCCCTCGTGACCCGGACCCTGAGCGCGACGCCAGTCCCATGGGGAGCACGGACATGCATCCCGGATCTAACAGTAACTCTTCGCTTTCGGATTATAACAAGGTATAGTTGTATTATCATTTATACTACTTTCAGTATCATTTCCCTGTTTAAAACTTTTGTCTGAGTCCAGGAACTTTGCTAATGTCATTATATTTACGAAATTGGTTGTTTTGTTATTATTTTTAACTTGACAAGTTGATCTTAAATGAAAAGAAAATATAAAGTTTCAGGTTGTCCCAAAAATCATTCATCAACGTAGAGCCTAAACCGCTTCGGCTACTTTTCTTAACTTCATATAAGCGATGATTTTGGTCTTTTATTTAAAAAAAAAATGTTTGTTGTACAGACGTCTGCGGGCAGCGAGATGTCCCCGGCGGGCGTGAACAACAACTCGTTCGGCGGCGCGCTGTACGAGGGCGAGCAGCGCCTGCAGTACCCGCACCTGCACCACACGCACAGCCCCACGCAGGACAAGCAGGACCACTATCATTACCGGCAGGACCAGGGTCAGTCGAAAGCGCCCCCTTCTCTTTCAGACACGTGGAATGGCGTATCAATGCGGTAGGAGCGTACTGTATCAGACTTGCGTTCATATAGTTGCAAATCCGAATCAAACTCAGTGTATATTATCCACGAGAAACTACTCTTAAAATAAGCTTTTAACTTATCTGCTACTCACCGATGGGTGGTATTCGAGGGGGTTTCCGCACAGACAAAGAAAGGGGTTAACAATAAATAATATAGACTACATTTATCATTGTTACTACTTTTGAAGAAAAGGGTTACAGACTAGTGATGTGCCGGATCGTTAACAAAGTATATCCGCGGATACGGATCCGAATACGGATATTTGGTGTCAAGATCCGCGGATACGGATACGGATACGGATTTTAAGTTTCTTACTCAATCGGAACCCGTGACCTTGATAGTTGTCGCCACTTGACGCTTTGCCGTTGATATTTAAATATTTCATTATTTTAATAAGCTAATACAAAGATGTTTGATTGGTCTCATTATAAAGATAGCTCTTTCAGTACCTACGACCTGCCTAGTTGATTTAGTGTAGTACGATAAATGATTGCAATACAAAGGCGCCAAATATTTGTTTTAAGAAAAAAAAGTAATCTGAACAGAATTCAATAGTTTTTCATAGCTACCTAATAACCATTATTCAGGGTTATTTTAAATTTACTGAAAACCTCTGAAGTGCATATTAGTAACATTATAAACAACAACTTTTCTTCTGGACTAACACCGAAAACGAAAGAAAAAAAATTGTTTCTCCATACAAACTAACAACATTTGATTGGTCATTTGAATGGAGAACCAATTTTTTTTTAATTTTGACGTTGGCCAGAAAAAAAGTTGCTGTTTATAGTGTTACAAACACATACCTAAGAGTTTTACAGTGAATACAAAATCACCTACATAGAATTTCATCTATGTAATATGTATTGAAAGATCCGCCAAAAAAGTCACGGATACGGATACGGTTACGGGTCTCTCTTCTCCCTTGGATATCCGCGGATACGGATACGGATACGGATATCCGGCACATCACTATTACAGACACAGCAAGTTTATGTATCTACATGATCTATCTAGGCAGTAAAGTAATTAAGGTCAAAATATCAAAAAACCATAAACAACATGATATATATAATTCTAACTTCCATAAGCTCCCGATATAAGGTGTACTAGAATCGAAAGCAGGTAAGCAGAAAATGAAATATGGATATTTAAACTGAATAATATTATAAATGTGTATTATGATGGTTTTTCAGGCCCAGGTGTAGCAGAGAGCCCGCGGTTAGACCAACTACACCAGCACCCCTCCATGTACCCTAGCAATTTTAATAGGTGAGCATTTTTACACGCTTTATATTAGCTTCACTTGTATGTTTGTTTGTATGTTTGTAACCGACTCTTTTGGGCGTGATTTTGACTGACTTTAAACGGTCAGAATTCGTTCAATCTTTGTAGATATATCGAGGACCGATGACAATACATTAAAAAAATAAAAATTATAGTTTAAAAAAACTAAAAAACACGCTTTCCATAGAAAACCAAACTAAAAAATATAAAATAAATTTGAAAAAAAGAGTTGGGTGCCTGTTGTCAATAGTAAAAAGCACCCCACGTTTTTTTCAAATTAATTTTCTATTTTCTATTCTACTGCAAATATTTACAATACGAAAACATACTCGTCGATCTTTGTTAAACGTTCGACTCTGTTGATCAGATCCTCAGATCAAATATAATATTATTCTGAAGAATCTAATTATTTTTTTGAAGTTTTTAAGTACTACCCTGAATAACAAAAGTTATTTAAAACGAAATAATCGTTTGAAACATCGGTTTCACGGGGTACCACAGGGGTATGTATTAAGCCCTTTTTCAAAATGCTTGAGTTACTGTTGGATGGTAATTTTTTTTTTATTTTTGAAATGAAAACTTCTTTATTCGCGTTAATCGATTTTTGGTAGAGGTAAAACTAATAGATTCACGTCAGCGATGACCTTGACATGCTCTTGACGTGTGCCAGACTAGCGACGCGTAGTATATCAGTCTGTGTTGATGACGTTCAGACTATAATTGATTTAAAATTTAAAAAAAGAACACAGTTTTTCTACTGTTTTAAGTTTTCAATTCTGTCTGTAAACGTGCGCATGAAAATGAAAATATTGATCGTTGTCATCAGCAGGTCGAGCCCGGCGGGCGGCGAGGCCTTCTCCCCGCTGGCGGCGGGCGGCTTCCGGCCACCCGACGCGCACACGCCACACACCCCGCACACCCCGCACGGGGACCACACGCCTCATCACCACCAGCCCGGTAATTACTCCTAACATCCCAACTCCGGCTATCCTAATTTTTGATAATAAGATTTTTTTAAGTGAAAACGTATTTAGGCGCGTTGGCCATTTCTGTACAACAAACAAAATAATGTATTTTATGGTTTAACAAAAACCACATTTTTGAAATAGGGAAAACCATTGAACTTGCGACACCGTTTACCGTTACCGACACCTCTGTAATCCACGATAAGTATCTACATATATTGGCCCGGTTTACACGAGAGTTGAGTTTGGTTTGTTATTCAATACATTGGCAATATAACTATATATAATATAAACATATATTGTGTATATATATACAACATAAATATACATATATTTATGTCAGAACTTTTCGAATCGAAGGAAACAAAAAAAAATTCAAGTTTTCATTTTTGTCGGCACTGCCATTGTGTCGTTTTCATAATTTGAGTTTTATTGACTACACACATCTCACAGATAGTAGTCTGATTAAAACCAGAGTTCGTCTCGCTAATTTCGAAATGTATGTTTTATTTTATTCACAAACGACAATGCTGATGGTGACAAAGAATTGTCTTTGCATGTCTGCTGGGCTGTCTACCATTGAAATTGTTTAAAATTGATTTGAGTGTGAAATGAGAGTAAATTAACTTAAATTTGGTACTAATTGTTAATTGAATTTAATTGTACATCAAACATTAAAACTGTGAATCGAAACGAATAGCAACTTATGACGTCACAAATTATTTGGAACAAGTTTAAACAGAACATATCCTATCGACTAAACACTCGAGTGCATCAGATCGTTCTCGTAAATTATTCTAATAATTTGTTACAGGTTCACCGGGCGAGTATGCTGGTGCGGTGAAGACTAAGGCACAGGACGTGGCGTCCAAATCGTTATCAGGGCTGGAGTCTCTGGTGGACCAAATCCCGTCCATCGCGGAGGGCCAGGGGGCGGGCGGTGTGGGTGGTGCGGGGGCGGGCGCTGCGGGGCCCGGGGCGGGGTCGGCGCCCGCGCCCGAGCAGGCCCCCGCGCCTGTCACGGCGCTGCCCGACTACGCGTCCGCGCTCTACCCGCCCTACGGAGCCTATGGCGGTGCGGCCTATGGGAATAATGGGTGAGTGCTCTACTGATCGTTGCCTACAGTAGCATTCACACCTATTCCCGATGCGGATAATCCCATAGAATGTCTGCGCGTTGTGAATTGTTATGAAGGCGTTGTGTAAATTTTTCTTTATAAAAGACTGTCCACACTAGGAATATATCCTATGACGCGGGGGACTTCACACACATATATGAAACGGACACAGAACAACTAGACTCAGAACAACAATTTGAGAATTACACAAAATGTTGTCCCACATGGGGATCGAACACACAACACTAAGCATAGTAGAAAGCGGCGAGGTGAACGCTTAAACCACTACGCCATCCTTGCAGTCAAATTGTAATAAGAATGAAAATCTATACTAATATTATAAAGCTGAAGAGTTTGTTTGTTTGTTTGTTTGTTTGAACGCGCTAATCTCAGGAACTACTGGTCCGATTTGAAAAATTTTTTCAGTGTTAGATAGCCCATTTATTGAGGAAGGCTATAGGCTATATATCATCACGCTAAGACCAATAGGGGCGGAGCACCAATGAAGAATGTTTCAAAAACGGAGAAAATGTATTACTATTGAGAGACGCAGACGAAGTTGCGCGGGTCAGCTAGTTCAGAATAAGAGTGTTTGTAAATATAAGTAAATATATTTTTCTCAAACATTACTCAAACTGCACACAATAATACTGTGTGAACTTTACTGACCTGTCAAAATCTATCGATAATATTAAACATCAAATAAGTTTTACATACCTAGTTATAATGTTTTTAAACTACAGTATATATAATTTAAAAAATAACTAACAGTTCGTTTTTGATTGCATTTATACCGAATTTCAAAACAGGTTAGTAAAATTTATTAGAAAATGAAACCCAAGCTAAAGTTGCAAAATAAGGAGTACCACAAGGCAGCATGCTAAGATCGATATTATTTTTTTGTTGCTTCCGCAAGTAAAACAGTAAAAAGTACAATGTACTGGGGTTGCGTTACAGGTACGGCGGTCCTTTCGTGGGCTACGGCGGGGGCTGGGGCACTGCGGTGATGCGGCCCACGCCGGGCTACCTGTCGGAGTGGCAGTACGGCTACCCCGCGGGCGTGCCGGCGGGCTACGCGCCCTACAACACGCCCTACTACAACGGCTACGCCGGCCCGCCGCCCGCGCACCATCAACAGGTCGGTACTCACACACGCGCGCTCCCTGAATACGTCATCGACAAACTTTAATACGATCGACCGAATAATCGTTTTAAAATTATGTTCATCTTCTGATTCCAGACGCACTACTTATCGGCCCCTCCGCTGATCGACCTGCACAAGAACGGCGAGCACTCCGCGGGAGTGCCGGCCGTGCCCTCCGTGCCCTCCGTACCCTCTGTGGGCTTCGGCGGGTTCTGTTAGTGTGTACATAGCGCGATGGACTCGACACACGACACTATTCTACGTCGACGTGTTTGAACACGATGCGTGGTCCTTCGAACAGAATACGCATGTTTACGTACTGAGGAACGTTACCACTTTTTAACTTTACTCTTAGTACTAAGATTTTGGTTGTATTTCGTTGTATTTCTGTGATCAAACTTATGAATCTCATTTTCAAATTAGAAAATTAATAAAAACTCCACTGTTAAAGTAACAAAAACGGATGTAATCAAATAAAATATAAAATGAATTATAAGAAATAAATTTATAAAAATTTATCTCAAAATACAACAATTACATTGATAGTCAAAACTCAGTACTAAGAGTGATATAAACTGTTCAATATGTAAGCAGATTCAGTTACGAGCTTTGTTTAGCTTGTTTAAGCGCATACTCTGAATCTTCTTATATATTGCATTAACTTAACTATTGAGTAAGCCGGCTGAAGACATTCATTTTATCTTTAAATTAAATATCAAAAATGACACGCATCAGAAATAGCAAGAAATGCATTGATTAATGCCTTCAGCCGAGTTATAACATGTGTAATTAGTGGTATATTATGTAAACCGCATCATGTTCGAGTACGTGGCGTTGTACGTTCGTCGTACAAGGTAGGTATAATATTTTGTAAGAGGTCGACAGTGAGTGGACGACTCCGGACGTAATACTTTCATAGTGTAAGTAGCTAATTGGACTGAGCTATCGACTCGAATGAACGTTTCCGTGTAGACAAATGTTTTTGTAAAGCAATCATTAGTGGTGTAATTTAATCTTTTTCAATGATGAGCTTAATTTTTAGGATTTATTTGTAAATATTGTATGTATTTTCGTTTCGGTCCATCACAGTTTTTGTTTTTACTATGTATTTTTAAACCTATATCTAGGTACATCACAGTTTATGCTATATTTATGTATCGTATGTTTTAGTAAATAACGTGGAGCGCACTGTGATTTGAGGGGGGCGAGCGAGTGCGACATGGCGTACTTAATTTATTCGGAATGTCTGTGATCTTCAGCCTAACAAAAATGGCCATCTCTATTGCCATATAAACGCAACCGTTCGGAATTAGCGCGGGCGTCGCCCGCTATACGGAGTCTTGCCAATGATGTGTTTCACGTTCTAGTCACTTACTAATTCGTGTCGGCTAGTCAAATTAAAAAAAAAATCGTACCAGTCGCACACCTCGCTCCCAAACAAATTGCTCGAATAAAAATATTGTTTATCTAAGTCACGAGGACGGCCTATGAGTATGAAATGTATACTTTATTTAGATTTTAATTTTGCGTTACGTTAGGTATGTAACGCTATTTATAATTGAAGTTTAGCATTTGATATCGTATGTTTAACGTCGGCGAGGAGGCGGCCATTAGCGAGGTCGCCGACCCCGCGAGGCGGCGGGGTCGTCGACCGCGCGTTGCCATGGACACCGTGCATTTTACTAAACGTTACCCGAACAGTTACATTACATTCGGATCGCTAGTGAATAACATAATTTTACATAATATTGTACACTTAATTTTTAATATACACGCGCCATTAATTTTATTGTAAGGCTCTACTTTGCGGTACTCAACGATACTTTTGCGTATTTTTTTTATATGTATATGTGTACTGACGTTACCAGCTAAGTTAATTGTATTCACAGTGAACTGCCGTATTAGTTACTGACCTTTTTACACTAGAATATTAATTCGAGCGAGTCGTTGCGCCGGCGGCGAAGATATCGTTGAGTGCCGCGAGATTTGTTGTACCGTATGACTGGTTTATAGAAGTGTAGATTTAATTTAACAATGCATAATGATTACATAGGGTGCTGATGGGTTCAATTGTTTCCTCGTTACAATATAATGTGTGAAAGGAAAGAAACGGCTCTTTACAAACGCCGGGGCGTGTCTCTTTAAGTCTTTTAGTATGTTGTTGATGTTTTGTTTTCACTTTTTGATGGTGTATTAGGTACCGGGTCGTGTAAAGGATGTAGATCTTTCGAATTAGAAGTCCTATAGTCGATAATAAGTCCTTCCGCATACTATTTTGTACGCGTAACGGTGTGCAAACGGACTGATGTCTGTACATAGCCAGGTTTACATCGGAGACATGGAGTAAGGGAAAAAAAAACAAACTTGTACAAAAAATATTTAAAATTAGTAAAGTCTTTTCTTTGCACAAAATGATAAAAGTCTTAAAGTCTTTAAATTAAGCTAAAAAACGAAATAACATACGTAATAAAGACATATACGTTAAAGATAGGTTACTTGGAAGAATTTATATGATAGTTAATTGAAGCGTGTATAGTCACCGCGAAGGTTGGCCTCGTACGTCGGTCGGATCGTGCTCAATGTTGCGTGCGTTTATACTGCGTTTGTGCTGCGTTTGTACTGCGTTTGTACTGCGGGTTGCGATAGTGCCGCGGCGCGATACCACGAGAATGTTTTACCGAACTTTACTTGACTGTATTCTCTTGCTTATATCTCACTTAACTTGACTTAATATTCATATCATTGTTATAATTGATATTTGAATAATTAATAGATGATTTTTTTGACTTGTTTTTTTCGTCATGTGTGTGTTACTTTTGTATCACAGAGTGAGAGAGATAAGCGATCCTTTTTATGGTATAGGTGGCAACAAACGGTCGGGTGGCATTGCTCTCCCACGAAGCTCTCCGTGGTATGATTTAAAAAAGCAAGGGAATAATTTGTCAGGTTTTAGATGATCTCTAGTAATGTTCTGGTCTGGCTTTAGGATTAGGTTATAATTGTGTTTAGTCGAGTTCGTACCGCTGCACTACTGCAATACGTCTTTTAATTATTATTTTTTTCGTAATTTCAAATGGGGAATCATGATAATTTAAAAAAAAATGAAATCAACAGGGTATTTAAGATTGCTTAAGATATATTATTTTATATTTATTACTACTTTTTGACGATCTGTGCTTGCTGCGCCGTTCGTTTTTAGTGTTACTGATGTTTTTTTTTTGGTTTTTTTTTTGCTGGCCGTACCACGTGTACTTTTTCAACTACAAACGTCAGTTAATTTGCTATCGGTGCCACAAAAAACTGGCTTCTACATAAATTTTCTCTTTCCAAACTTTCTAGAAAGATTTTTCGTCTCTTTCTTTTACCTTAACTATGAAAGAATAGCGTTCTTAATATACGTTTGTGTGTAAATGCCCTCGTGGTACACCCAGCCCGTGAACCGTGTTACCCCAATACGTTCACAATACTATGCCTTTGTACATAATGAGTGCTTTATTACGCTTTTTTGATATTATATTTTTATTTAAACTACAATAATACTATTTCTATATAGTTTTTTTTGCTTTTATTTTGTACATTAATCGAAGTCGTGTGTTATGTATACTGTATGTAATTGGATTGTGTTTAATAATATATTATTTGGCAACAATTCTGACCTCGGCGCATGGATATTTTGTAAATTCCATAATGCAAGTTCAAATATTACCTTCAAAGTTGACCGGTTTGAAGATAGCGGCTTGTGGCCCAACTCCAACGACGTGAATGCAGTAACGATGACATCTCGAAGTTGGTTATTACTAAAACTGTTTGCAGTTTTAGCAATGACCAACTTCAAGTCGGTCAAATTTATATTCCACGTTTTCAATCAATATTCCTGGGTCGAGGACAAGTTTGACTACTGTCTAATATATTAAATTGTGATAATTATGTCCATGTCACGACTTTCAGTCTATTTACCAATGAGATAATGCGAAAACACGAAAACAATTTCAATAATTGTAAGTTTTTGTTGTATTCCTCGGTTGATAGTCGTGACGTGCACGTGACAACTTAAGGCCTACTACACACACGCCGCCGGTGCAGTCTCGCCGCGCGCGGGACCGTCACTAGTATTCTTCGTGCAGAATACTATAACCCGGCAATCTCGTGCGCGACCGTCCTGCGGGGTGACAGACGGTGGCGGGGCGAGGTAGCGCGTCATTCTAGCACACGGCTACATACGAAGAGAAGTGTTTCCCTTCCCCGCTACACCACCCGCTACCCGCTGACATCTTGAGTACCTCGTCCCCGCCACCGTCTGTCACCCCGCAGGACGGTCGCGCACTACGTTGATGGACTATAGTGACGGTGTAGACGGTCAATGGGAATGCGTACTTAATTTTTTTTTTCTCAAAGCGCTGCATCGAGTGTCTATATGTGTTTTTTGTTATGTACTATCTTTAAACAATGTTTTGGACATAGTTAATGCTTCTGCATAAGTTTTTTTTACTAACGAACTTAGATATCCTTAAGTAAATCGAATAACAATTTTACTTAAAATATCTACCGAGTCGAGTCTACCAGTATATTTGTTAATGTGTAGTAGTTTTGTACCCAGTGCGAAATGGACCTAGCTTACTAGGACCTGGTTTAGACCGTTTTTCAGACATGTTAAAAAAAAAAACCTATGCAGGAGTAATTTACATCGGTAGTAAATAACAAAGTGAAATATAATGGCATTACTGCCGATGGTGTATCTCTTAGTTGTTTTTTCTCTCGAATAAGATTCATCGGGCCAATATTCCTTCCTGCAACAGAGTGCAATGTCGGGAGATTATATTCTGTCTCGTAATTACTACTGTTATTATTATATTTTTATTATTATTACAAATATCGTACTTACGTCGCGTATAAGTGTTGTGGGGTACGGCTCGCACTGAACCGTTCGGCTAACACGAGTCACTTTCGACTTTCCTATCGGGTGCATAAAGACTAGATTCGTACGACAGACGTAGAGGCGAGTGGTGTCAGGTCGGTCGTGCTGGACTAAATCGTAGCTGTTAATGTAAGTCTCTATCAACGAGTTAGTGTTAGTCTTGTACACATCGCTGCGGGTGCGCAGCCCGCGCTGTTTTATCTCTCTAGACGTGGCGCGCCTCACGTCCGCGGGCGGCTCAGGGCCCGCCGCCTGTATTCGTTAGGGTTGACCAGTGTTTGCATTGAGTCGCTCAACTATTTGTACAATATGTATATTTTTGTAAAATTTCAATTCTAACTCGTGGCAATATAATAAAAAATTTAAATTTATCTATAATATTAAATCTTAGTACAATTGTTACACATTATCTACAGTTATGTTCACCCATTTTAATAGCATCGTTGTAACCGATATCCTTGTTCCAAGGTAGCTATTTACATGTGGCACTTAGATTGTGTTTAATTTCCCTTAGAATGAGATTAATATCTACTATTCAAGATGCTGTCGTGCTGATTCTGACACGAGTACTTTAATACAAATTACCTACCCCTATAATGATACAATTCACTTTAGAAAATACAGAAATTACAGTAACATCTCTCCCAGTTGAAAGTTGAATGTTGAACACGGTCAAAAACTTGTTTCAAGTAATTGGCACTGAATCGAATATTGTTAAGCGAACATACTTTTCGCTGGTTTATCATATGAGAACTAAAATATAACCCCCCCCTCCCCCCTCTCCCCTCCACCTCCGTACATGTCATATTAAGGAATCACACATGACATAATCCAAGTGCCAATGTAAAAACAATATATTCCTATATCTATAGTTGCACGACTCACGAGCTCGCACTTAAGTCTACGACCACTGGTACAGCGACATCTGGTAACCAGTTCTGGAACTAATATCATACTTCAATCAAATACTGTTTAAATAATAAACTAAGTTACTGGAATCATAAAATAAAATATTTAAATGGAGTGAAAGGTTTCTAATAAAAAAAAAAAGTTATGAGTTTTATCATATCGCTATTGTTAAACCTATTTCAGAACTGGTTCGCAAAATGTTCATATGTTGGTCAGGTCTGGACTGGTCCTTAGAGTTGTATGATAATGCGCTTGATGCGCTGCTTGGTTGTGACTTAGTATCGCTTTCCCCCACCTCCCCACTCCGTCTTTTGTCCGTGACGTCATCTACCGACATAACGAGTTGCTTCACACAGTATTGTCGTGCCAAAAGATACGTAAATGCAGGAGTAACAAAGCAATATTATATATGAATAGTCTCGAATGAAGCAATAAATATCTGGGCGAGTGAACGTTCATAGTTTGACATATGACTTCGCCTCTCTAATGTATTCTTTTTTAATATCATGTCATGAAGTCGGATTCGCGTGATAGCATTTATTGTTTTTGACTTACACCCTCTTTGTCAATAATATTTAAATTCTATTATTTTTTTCTAATAATTTTTTGTGTTTATATTAGGACTAATAGTAACAAAAAGGCTTTAGCGACATTGTAACAATTTTACAAGGGCATATTTAAATATTAAATAACATAAATGTTTTATTTAATATTGTAAATATGAAAACTCTTTTCAATTTGTTAGGAAACGTACGGAAATATTAAAAAAAAAAAAGTTTTTTATAAATACAAGCTGCTTGCATTTAACATCCAATTGTTACATTGAAATGCCATAATATTTTTTAATAATTATTTTTTGATAAAGGGGGTTGCGTCGCTCATCGGAGGGCGGAGTATTTCCTAGCTCAATTTTATTAATTATAGTATATTATACATGCTTGTTATTTCTTCGTTGTAATCGTTATTTTTCCACCTGGGCTGCCCTAGGGCACCAATGAACTTACCGTTGATGTTATAAGTGAAGTATCATATCATATAGGTCTTGTCATCCATGTGTGAAGATAGCCATGGGAATTCCACAACATGCATTACTCAAACAACTCGCATTTTATTACGGTGCTTGTTTACTGGTGTAGTGGTGTACGACGCGGCGCGACTTAACCTATATTTACTCTTTAGTGGTTAACGAATCTATAATGTATTTGATTTAATTTATTGAATTTGGTATCTTTGGAAACATTTTATTTGCCGCATATGAATAGGTGTATAACAGAAAGTTGTGATGAATATTATAGACAAATAGTTAATGTAGTTTAATAAAAAGGGTTTCGAGACAGTTTTTTTTATGGAAAATGCTAAGAGGAAATTTCTATGCAACGGCTTTAGAATTTTATTGATTTTTTTATGCAATTTCAATAAAATTTTGGCGTTCTATTAATAGTATTAGGAAAATACTATTGTTTTATTAATGTCAATACTCTTTTGTATTAAATATTGGTTTTATCAGTTAATAATCATCGAATATTTGCTAATGGCAATTAACTTACTTAATTACAGGCGCTCGGGGGTAAAAAGTTTCTAAGACGGGTTTCCTATTACAACTCTATAATAACACCGCAACTTTCTGACATAACATGTATAGGCATAACTTTTAAAATTGCCTTTATTATGTGGTAAAAAGTTCATGAGGAAGGAATCACAGATACATTTACCATAACTAACGTCCCATAAATACTATGAGATTAAAAACCCTACATTTTTCTCAAGCACAGTTGAGTAAACGTAGATAAATGAACTTAACGTTGTTGCAAAGATAAACCAAAGGGTTCTTGAATTACCTCCTCAAATAAGCGAAGATAAAATTTATGCTTTTAGAGGTAAATTTTACATTAATTACTTATTAGTAATTTACAGCAATTTAATATTACATTAATATATAATTGGTATTTGAATCGATATTTATGATGAATTCTGTTACGAGTTAGTCGCGGCGCGTCGCCACGTCTTGCATTATGAAGTACAATTTACATTTAACCTTATTACTTAATGTTTACAGTATCATGTCTGCTGAGCGGTGTTGAATGTTCACATATGTACGTGATTGGTTCTTGTGTCCGTTTATAATATTTACGCTAGCAGTGTACACTAAATTAAATAATATTTGTACAGTTTTTAACGATAAAACTACTTCTTGTAGTGATTAAGCGAAAAAAAAAAAAATATTTTTTAGTATGATAAAATCTAATCGAATTACATCATAGTGTAACATAATAAACTATTCGAGGTGTTTTCAAAATTTAATTTCCATTTTTATGGTCCTTGTGGAAATTATGTTCCGACTAAATTTATTATAATGGTCTTAAACAACAACTGGTCCCGTGGGATGTAATTAGAAGTTAAACAGGAAGAATTTTAAATATTAAAATACAACATTAATAATAAAAATAAGTAATGTATTATAAATAGAAATAAGGTAAAAAGTTATTATTAACATTGTATGGAAAAAATTGTGACAAAAATTATAGTCATTTGTAATATTATCGTGTTGTTTTATTAATATGGTAACACTATTCCTTTAGTTTTAAGTAAGTATGTGAGAGTCTTAAGTTATGTTATTAATCCATATCCTAACTTAAAAAAAATATATCAGCTTATAAATCTGTACTTAATTTTAATCCCTTTACTGCTACGAAATACAAATTCCTGAGAACGTCTTTTTTAAAAAAAAAAATGTACTTGGTACAGCATTTTTTTTATGGAATAGGGGGCAAACGAACAGATGGGTCACCTGATGGAAAGCGACTATCGCCGCCCATTAACGCCTGCAACTCGGGAGTCACAAGCGCGTTGCCAGCCTTTGAGGAAGGAGTACGCTCTTTTCTTGAAGGTTTGAAGGGCGTATCGGTCCAGTTACTACTTCTCTACCTTCACTTACTAAATAGAAATCTGCAATTACGCATCACCTCTGAAGCAGTTACCATTAAATTGAGAGTTTAACACGAGTATTTTTTGTAAGTATATATTATATAAAAGAGATGCCTACATCTGACTCACAACGCCATCTAGTTTCAAACTTGTACTATGCAGGCTAAATTAACTGATAGAATACTTTTATACTTTTTTTCTTAAATACATACATATTATAAATAGAAAACACAAAACTCCGAATTAATTCAGAATGAGTGAAATGTTTTGTCTAATACTGTTTAGGGTACCGGAAGGTATTCCGACGACCTGCTAAAGGTAGTGGGAAACCGTTGGATTTGGGCACCACAGGAACGGTTGTTGTGGTAAAACATGGGGCGGGTCTATGTTCAGCAATGGACGTCTTTCGGCTTAGAAAATTGAGGGTATGAAATGGTTATTCTGTATACATTGTCTATGCTTGACACGTTGTCTATGAAGGGTTTACGTCTAGTCTCCAGAATTCAGTCAAAATCACAGCGACCGTTTTGTGTTGCCCTCTCCTCAAACTCTCTTTATTTCTTTTTTTTTTTAATTGTTTGAAATCGTCTTTTATGTAGACTCTAAAGTCATAGATCAACACACACAAAAGCAACAATCTCTGTTTTGTCAAATAGTAAGCAAATAAATTTAACAAAAATGTGCCGATCTACAACCGCTCGTTTCCAAGGGGTTGAGCCTCATGAGAAGAAAGGGCACTACTACTACTAAAATTTATTTACTCCTAGATCAAATTTAGAATTTCAATTCAATATAAAAATGTTTAGAATAACTCGTCAGATCTATATAAGGGACATCAGTCATTTGAAACATTCTGATAGTTGAAAGCAGTACGTAAAATAAATATGAAAGTTGTGAGCACAGCTGTCATAGGCTTGAAATACCAAAATTCCAAATAGCTTAAAAATATCTATGCTTCAATTTTTGTAAGTAATTAATGAAGCGTTTAGGGCAGAATTTATAAGCCAACTGTGTAGGATTTTTAACGCCCAGTAGAACTAATTAAATCCGTATCGAGTCATGCATGGCTCGCCCCAGCTAAGTATACAATATGAAACTACGTATTATTTACTTTAACAATTTCTAAAACGAATTTGGACCAACTGCTTTTTTATGGAATAGGCAGCAAATAAGCAGATAATTCAGGATAAGAATACGGAGTGTCACCATCCCTGTTCATCCGTTGGGTGTCGTAATAAACAACTAAGGGGGCAAACTACGCAGGACAACGGCACTGCAATGAGAAGGAAAACTTGAAACAAACCCTATGCCAACCCGTCTAGCAACGTGGTAAATTAGGCCTAACCCTCCTTTGGAAAGGTTTGGATAGCAACAAAAGAATTGAGCACTTCCGACAGCTTGCCCCTAAGCTGGTCGACGTTGTGTCTGCCTTTAACACCGGTATAGAGGCACGTTTCATTCACCTTTAATAAAAGTGCCTACATATACCAACTCAATAATAAATACTTAATAATATACCTTAAATACCAATGCTTACCTGACATCGAAAAAGGGGATTAATAACAGAAAAAAAATCAGGAACAAGGTCAAAACCTTTGTCAGACTGACAGGGAGAAGCGACAATTAAGCTACTTAGTTACAAGTAATCCACCTCCTGACTTTAACATCCGATATCACTTTAAGCTTTCATGTTTGGATTCGTGAACATTTATCAAATCACTCCGAACTTGTACACCCACGCCGGGCATTCTGCCAGCGTATGGAGCGCTGTGTCCACGGTCCGGCCATCGCAGTGGTGGCACTCAGGCGTTGGCTCCTTGCGGATCAGACACAAGTGATCTCCGAAGCATCCTTTCCTGGTGATCACCTACGTCAACCGGTATGAGAGGGTTCCGTGATGCCTCTCGAGCCAATCCTCCATAACGGGTCTGCTGCGATAACGGCGTGCCCAACAACCATATTGCCCTAAAAGTTAATTATATTAATGTTATTTTAGGAGTTATGGAATTTTAAAAAATATTATCATTGAGGAACTCTAATCACGAATTCAACAGAACGAATCAATTCAGCTTCAAATTTTAAATTATATCAAACGATTCGAATTAGTTTAAAATTGTAATTATTGCCGACTATACGAAGTATCTAAGAATACTTACAAAGGAATATATATATAGTATAGTAATCTAGCATGAAGTAATTATCACTATCAGTGTTTAGAATAAGAAGCATAATGAAATTTAAAACTATCCTTATCCCAATACTGTTTTTATCAGGTTCAGGAAGTGTTCACTGCAAGGTTTGGCAATTCGGTAAAGATGCACCATATTCTGAGGTTTTGTATCGCGGCTCTGGCACGATATCAGCGTCAGAAAAAATCAAACATATACATATGTCTGTAAGTATTATTTTTCGGCATATTCTATGGAAACAAACGATGACAGGTAAGAATGAATTTCAGCAAATTGTGATAGACAGCTATGCCAAACCATCCCATTAAAGTGAAGTATATTACTTCAGAATCTGGGATTTATCCTAGTTTCAGTTTTTTGTCTAGAATGTCAGTTATATACAAATTTAGATTTTTATTTTCCCAGTTATTCTGGATCTTTTACTTTTCTTAGAAAACAAATAATCTTAACAAAATCTTACATGAGTTGTACTCATATTTATTTAAGATATTATATGTGGGGAATATAACTTCTGCATTTCACAAATTTCAGATTCCAGAATGTCACAATGTGAAGTTATTAAGAGTGGAAGTACAGAATTTCTTAGCGCATGCAAACACTACTTTTGACGAAGATACAAATGTGGTAACGATATCTTACAAACCGTGGCAATTCAGTGAATCAAAATACGACATATCAGCAAAAGGTGTGAGAGATTCTGAATGCGAACCTCTTGATGAGGAGAATAATCACACAGATCCCAACGATCACTCAGCGTTCTCTGAACACTTGTAGACAATAAAAATCAAGTCAATTTAATCAATGAAATAAATAATATTGAAATTGTTATACATTGCTGCCATAATCCTGCAGGTGGACATCAACAGTGATCAACATCACAGAATGCTAATTACAAGAATCTGCCTGTTGAAAGTTTATTGATAAACTAAACTAGGTTCTAATATAATAAGATAGATGTCGCCATTGATCGAAAGTGTAAGAATGTGAAAATGACCCATTATAGTTTTTAGAAACTTTTACCGTCGCCATAGGTAAATTATAAGTTAAATAATTATTTTAAAATCTAATTTTTAATTGTCCTTAAAAGGTATGAGTAAGTAACAAGTACTTATATTTCATTCAGATCACTGAAATGAATAGTCAGTGAGACCACATAGAATAAAAACCGCAAACAAAATAATTCAGTTATTAAATATAAGTATATGTATTTTTATAAATCATAAATAAGAAAAAAATAACTACTTTCAGCTAATATTCTCTCAATTAATATGTAAATCGTTTTTTTTATCTTATAAGAGAAATCTGACAAAGGATGTCAAAACCATAGACAAATAGAGTTGCGAAAAGAAAAGTTAGGCTCTTTGCAGTGTCATATTCAAAATTCTTGTTTAAAAGATTTAAATTAAAAGAAAAAATTAATACGTATAAGTTTCAAGATAAAATAATTACCAAATTATTTATTTATTCTATTAAAATAATTTCTTTTCATTATCTATAACATTTTGAACACTGCGAAACTTTTAACGAGACAGTGACATGGTAAAGAACTTCATTTTGATGGTTTCGAATCCATAGACAATTTGAGCAGTCCGAGAGTCTTTGAAAAGATCGGCGGATCGCCTGTAGATTTCGGAGTGGATTGCGATGTCGGATATTGGCAGCGGTGACGAGGGGATTTCTAGTCAGAGTACGTATTTATTTACAGCGGTGTAGAATCTGGGACGTCTAGCGTTTCGCGCCGCGTTCGTCAACCGTCACTGACGACGTCTTCGTCCGTCCTAACGTTCAAAAGTAAATATCTCATTGTTCCCGTTTCAAAATGGCGAATTCGGGTCTGTTATATCTCCGACGCTGAGGCCCCCGAAGGATCTTCGCGCGGGACGGCCCTCGGTTAGCGGGTGGAAGTGCGACGGCCCGCCCGGGACCGGCTCCGACCGACCGCCGGCGAGGTTGACGACCTATCGATTTTTTTGTCTGCGACCTCTCGTCGTCGGGCGGGCCGGTGTCGGCGGCCGAGGTGGCTGAGACGCTCACGGCTCGGGTCTGGCGGTCTGCTAGCCGCGCGCCGCAGCGTCGCCGCACCGCGTCGCTCCGCGCTTTGTGCTTCGCCGGCCGTGGTCAGCTGAGCGCCGCGGCACCATGGCAGGTCAGTGGCCGCGCCTCCGTCTGGCTCTCGTCTCTCTAAACTTTACCCACTGACCTCGCTAAATTTTAAGATTCTGAAAGGTTTGGTCCATATCCGCATACGCGTTTAGACTTAACCGTCTTTTAGACGAAGTTTCTTTGTTCTCGCCGAGGTTACCTTTCGGTGATGATGCCTACGCTCGCGTTGTTCTCGTATTATATTGTGCAATAGTGAAAGTGCCAGTGGTGTTTGAACTGTCTGCTCCCTTTCAAGAATCAAGAACAAAGAGATATGCCTATGGTTTCGTGTAGAAGATCCCTGAACAAAGAAACTTGTGTTTTTAACTATTTGGAGTGATGAAATATGGTAGTATCTGAACTGTAATGCGGTGTATATTGTGTGATGATGACAGGCTTAGTGCACTTTAATGTACCGTGAGTTGTAAGTGGTTAATTGTTAGTCCAAACTCCTTACAAATGTCAGTCCTGTGAAAAACAAATTGAAAATCAGTAAAAAGACTTTAGTAATCCTTTATTGAAGTGTCAAACCATTCTAGAAAGCATCCTGGCCCTCCCCTCCCCTATTAACAGAAAATTCGAACCTATTTAATATGCTTAAAAGCCTCTAACCTGCTTATTAGTATAGCTTGTGGAGTCCATTTTGTATACAAAAAGATTCTCAGTAGTTAGCTCATGGTATGCATTTCGATTCTAACACAAAAGTCATGTAAGTAAATTTTAATGCTATAAGATTCTTGTAAGAATAATTGGTTGGATTCAATGGTTTGGTATGGGACAGCCGTTGCATGCATTTCTTTACCATCTTCATCCACTAAAACATATTTCTTTCAAATCATTCATCTTTACCTCTTTAACAAGTTTTAATTGTACTTTCAAAGTAATTCATCATGAAATTAGAGTCATCAGTTTAAGTGCTAATGTCATCATCATCAACAGCCTTTAACAGTCCACTGCTGGACATAGGCCTCTCCTTAGAAAGTGCTAATGTATTATACAGTAACTTGTCACCTTTGAATTTTTTCGACTGTATTAACTAAGCTTTAAATCACTAGAGGCCAAATCTTTTCTACAATCATACAGCAAATTTTTGTCTCTAACATTGTGTAAATTGTTTTAAATTTTCTTTAATAAACATGCAACATCCACATATCCACATTATTACATATTTTAGTCTAACATTGCATGGACATAATTAACTTTTTTGTGTTATGCATGCAAGGGAAACGGTGTAGATACATAAATATGCACATTAGCAAATACAGGAATTCGATAGAGAGTATTTCTTTTCTGTTTATATTATTATTATATTTAATACACTAGCAGCTTAAGGCTGATGCGTGTATATCATTACACTTGTGCATTTAAATGTTTATCTAGTCTATTTTTAAAAATGGTAATACTCTGGGCACCTATCACTGTTTCCGGCTAAGAGTTTCACATATGCACTACTCAGTTAGGCAAAAAATGTTTTCTGGGATTACTGGTACACAGGTGCTTGCTAAGCTTCATAGAATGACCCCTTAGCTGCGTGTTCGGGTTCATTGTGAACATAAACATTATGGCTAAACTTTTCCTTATAATAATGTCATAAGGTACAAAATTAAAGAAACATCATCATCCTCGTTCATGTTCATCAATTCACCGTAAATTTATTTAGTAGCAACACTAGAATGATTATAAAATTGAGTTCTATGTTGTAATTGTACCATAATGTAGTGGTGACTGCTCCCTTTACCTTACCTTTTACCTTATTTTAGGAATAATAAGATTCATAAACATTATTTGAACAGCTGAATGCTTATAATGTGTGTGGGAATATATGTGTGTGTTAGTGTGTGTATATACATAGTACTTTGTCAATGTGAATTTCAAGGATGTGCTGAAATAACCGTTTATCTATTAAAATATTTTCTTTAACGGAATGCATTAAGATCCAAATTGAAATGCATTAGAATCAAAGGGTTTTTTTTAACTGTAACAGGATCTTAAGTTAATGCAAAGTAAATAAATATACTTCTACTTATCATCTATTTTAAACTGTTAGATAAATATTTGTACTGAAATATGTCTATATGAGATATAGTGATAGCATTATCTGTTTGTATTTATTATGAAAACAAATATATGTTGTTAACATCTAATCTGGCACCTAACACATATGTCAGAAACCCTCTTTATTTCTTCTAATTAGCAAAGAAAGTTGTATTTGGCATGATTTCAATTTCCTTTCAACATGATATCTTTACGTCACAACCGTCTTTCGAATGTAAAGCTCTTCCTAATGGTACCCAGGAACTTTGATAATCCGTGTTGGAAAGGAACACAACCAAAACCACTGTAATCAATTTTGACACTCACTCCTTCCTACTTTTTATTGTCCTTTTGTCCCGCGGGTCTGGTCTAGTGTGCTCACTGGTCTGTTCTTCAAATAAACTTTAACTTAAATTTATTGTAGGTTTTCATTAATAAGCATACTAATTTTTTTTCGTTTTTCTCACATTCAGTTTCCAGTCTGTTGTATTGACTGTTTGAAAATTGTTTTGAATTTTCTTCTCTGACATGTATTCCTTGGACATCAACAGCCATTACTAGTCCACTGCTGGACAAAGGCATCTCCTTAGAAAGGAGGGTTTGGCCTACTATACCACGCTGGCCAGACGGGTTGGTATAGGGTTTGTTTCAAGTTTTTCTTCTCTTTGCAGTGCTGTTGTTCTGCGTAGTTTGTTCCCTTAGTCGCCTCTTACGACACCCACGGGATGAATAGGGGTGATGACATTCCGTATTCTTAATCCGTCACCACACGGACAATTCCGTATTCTTAATCCATCACCACACGGACAATTCCGTATTCTTAATCCGTCCCCACACGGACATGTATTCCTTGGTCAGCGAGTTGTAATTCAGTGAGGGACTCAATTAATCTATACTAATACTAATATATTATAAAGCTGAAGAGTTTGTTTGTTTGAACGTGCTAATCTCAGGCAATACTTGTGCAAATAGACATGATTGTTTCTATGTTTAATATCTACTCAACAAATATGACCACCTTCTGAATAACTGCATTCAAAACTTCTTTAACCTTCGCAAATATGACCATGGTAACTCCTTTGGTTGAGGATTTAACTGGGTCACTATTTGTCAGTGCCCTCAGCTGCGCGCCCTCACCACCCTCTATTTTATTCTCAACTCACCCATTTCCACCTCCTACCTGGCATTATCATTCCAATACAATACTCTTCTGGTATACCCTACTCCTACTTCCGTTTTTGTTCAATCCTCGATCCTAATCCAATCTCTACTCCTCTGGATCATTCTCCCTCCTAAAATCAGAATAGCACCCAGTCGGCTCTTATTCAAGATGAAAGTCGAGATTGCTTTCTGGACACCCTATTATTAAAATGTAGGTTTATTTAAGTATGTAACTAGGTATTTATGTCATCATCAACATCCTATACTAGTCCACTGCTGGACATAGGCCTCTCCTAAGAAAGGAGGTTTTGGCCTACTATACCACGCTGGCCAGACGGGTTGGTATAGGGTTTGTTTCAAGTTTTCCTTCTCTTTGCAGTGCTGTTGTCCTGCTTAGTTTGCTCCCTTAGTCGGCTCTTACGACACCCACGGGATGAATTGGGGTGGTGACAATTTGTATTCTTAATCCGTCACCACACGGACAGTATTTATGTATGTGTATGTATTTGGTACATATGTATGTATATTTATCTCATTGTTTCCGTCTAACTTCTCAATAATTTTCTCTTACTTTACATTTCAATCCTTAGTGTACTTAGTCACACATTTCAGAACTATCCTAAGATAGACTGGGAGAAAATGCCTGTGGCATTAAGTCATCCATTGTACAACTTAAACTTGTGCATAAAGTATAAAAATAAAATATGTATGTATTTACGAAAAAATGTACCTATTTACAGTTGTCTTCAATATAGAACCTATCATGCAAAACGCATCTTTTGCATCCAAAAAGTGACACACTCTGTGTCTATATTACTATATATTAGGATATTATTATTGCACCTCTTTAATTTTCCAGACTCTTTGTGGTCCAGCTTACCTTTGCTGTAGTACATTATGTAATGTTCTTCTACGGTCTTCTTTCGTATGTCCGTTGTCTTGATCAGTAATTTCAGCAATTCACCTGGGCCTCAATTCTGCTATTTTAATATTGTATTAATAGACTGTTGTTGGAATAGTTTTGCACTTTTCGTATTCTACTACCTATGTTAGACTAATGGCCTCCCAAAAACTTGTCAGTGAACTGGCACTGATACAAATGTCGTTGATGTCTTTGTAATAGTTTGGTAGTTGGTACATTTGAAATTTGTTAGGAAATTAATATGTATATTTAATTTTCTCGATATGGCAATGTTGTTGATATCACCATTGTCACTAGATCCCCAGTCTATTGACACTGAATTTATGTTAGTAGAATACCGATATTTTCATCGATGTCAATGGAATGACAGTGGCTTGTATGTTAACATAAAATAGCAGAACAAATTCTCCGATCGGCTCGATCCCTTG